TGGGCCATCTATGCCAAGCGCGTCACCCTCATTCCAAACAACATACAGCTCACCAGCCTCATCTGCATTTAACACCCTAATAGATAAGCATTACTCAACCATCACGACAAAACGGTCCATTTCAGGACCACCATAAATTTGTAAAACAGTATTTTTGAACATTTGTCAAGGTCATCAATCGGATGTCAGTTCCCATATCAAGATAGAGCTGGAATTAGAACGTAACAGCTTTTGTAAACAATGCCTTCTTCCAATGATGTCTTGAAAGTCAAGGCTCACCCACGCAATTCAACATCACCATCAGGAAGGATGAGACTTCCTCTACCCGACGGTAATGTTAGTTTGCGTGGGCGTTTTTAGGATTCCTAAAAATCATCGAGATAAATCATTGTTTACAAAAGCTGTTACGCCCAGTTCCAGATATATTGAGATATGTTTAAATCTAACATACCATGTACTTTACGGCAACATTGGGGGTACGATTTTAAAAACCAAAGTCGGTCGTGGCATGAAATAGGTCTGATTTTGATCCAGAGATGATGGATTTTAGTTCTTAATACACAAATCGATAAAAAATATTTCTATGAATCTGTTAAAATAAAGACTTAATTATTTTTCAAAATGTCACTGTTGAAAATTGCACGAATGTGCAACTGTTGATATGATAATTAAAATTATCACCGATTGCCTGCGAAAAACGATTTCCCTAGCACAGATTTCAAAGTTGAATTCCATCTGGTGTTTATTCAATCATCGCGTGGTGAGTGGTGGTGGTGTTCTCAAGTACACAACGAAAGGCTCCCCGCAAGCAGCGAGCAGCAGCCCACATGAGCATCCATAGAAGGAGGAAGAAGCCGCACCGCTATTGATCGGAATCAGGGTTCAATCCCCATTCTGAGGCATACAAATCTTTGGTCACGTCTTCCGAAAACAGTGGGAAAATTTCATATCTGTAAAGGTAGGTTCCGATAAATTCAAGACATCCATTTACTTCTGAAAATTTCTGAGAATCTCGGGGAAGCCCAGAGAGGTCCAGAGAACTCAAGAAAACATCAGTAATATTTCGGGTACTTCACAGAAGGCCGGAAAACTGCAATGAAGTTTAAAGGTTTTCAGGACAGTTTTATTTACTTCAGGACCATACCAAGAACTTCAGGAGAAATAAGAGAACTTCGGTGAAACTCCAACTTCTGCAAAATTTCCGAGGGTTCACTTACAGGTTTTTTAAGAATCCAAAATGGCAAATTTAAACTCTAGAAAACTGTTAAGTACCCTGCAATATGGGTATTTATTTGGAATTGGGATGCAGTTTAGAGGTTGGAAATCGTTGTATGACTCAATTTTTAAATCCAATATAGTGGTTCTAGCAAAACTGTCTAATCCAGAAGCTTTGAACGTGGTCAGATAATCATTTGTTAAATCATTAAAGCTTGTGAAAGACTAAGGTCAAAAATTCTGTGTTGATAAAAACGGAAGCATACTGTATATCTTTTTTAGGATCAGATAAAAGGTAATGGTATCCGGTTGCAACAAGTACCTGACATAATTGATATTAGAGTTATAAGAAAAGTGTTTTGATCGGAAATACATATCAAACGATTCTCAAGGGCAATAATTGTCGTCGCCGTTGGGGCAATGAAAAATAGTTACAGCAGGTTGAGCGGGAACTTGATGGTAATTATTCTTTTTGGAAATCGAGTTTTATCTCAATACGAGATAAAACGTGTTGAAATTCGGTTCTAGGAACGAGAACGCAAAAGAAACAATATTCGAGCCGTACAAAAGACGTGTTGATTGGCAATCCATGTCAAATGCTTCTCAAGAGGAGTTTTTGTTGTCGTCGGTGAGGTCACCGTCAGGATTGAAATCTAATAACAGCAAGTTGAACGGAAGCTTGATCGTAATTGTGTTGTGACATAAGGAGCTTGGTGGTCAACTGGCGACCGATTTTGCTTACTGAGCAGAATATCATGGGTACAATCTCAAGCTTCTTCATAAAGCGTATTGAAGTGTATTGAGCGTAAAATAAATAAAAATCAAGTTTCCTCTTTTTCTGATTTATTGCCATTTCACGTAAAGATGTTTATTTTTTTAATTTGTTCGTTGAACTGTTTTTAAATAGTCAAAACGATGCATATCAAGGCAATATTTATGCCAGATAATGGAAACATGTTCCAAAAAGCTACTAAATGACAGATTATTGTTTGTTGAAGGCAAGCTGGTCAACCTTTTGAGATGTCCCCTTGAAGGCAAGGATACACTTAAGCGTGAGTTCTGCCACTTCAAATCCGATTGCAAAAAAATATGGATTGCCTCCCTTTATCACAATTTTTTTTTCATCAGTGCCAACCACGAATGGTTGAATTCTGAAATTCAATTCACTTCTTAGGTTTCTCTGGCATGGCATGGACGTCCAACTAAGAAGTTTGAAGATTCAAGTGAACTTCAGAACTCAGAGCAACCGATTCGGTTAACGAATTGACACATGCTGCTCAAATGGGTCAGTGAGCTGTTGGAAATACAGCTGTTGCAAATGTAATAAAATCAGTAGCAGCATTCCCCTCGACAGCTGCGAAACTCAATCGAGTTATCCTTAACCCCCATCCAAAATGTCTTCGTCAACATAAGCCTGAATAAGTTTTAGCTTTTTTTGTTGAGGCTGACGATAAAGCAATATGAAGTTATTCACATGGCAGATAAATCACCCATGTTATTCGGTTTTGAAACAAGCAAAGAATCACTGTTATCGAAAGGAAGAAGCCATTACAGTTACCGAAATACTCGCAGAAGTGCGGCTTTGTAAGTATCTGGATGAAGTTTTGGAGCAGTTATCGGACGAAGAAAAATGCAGCATGCAGCTGTTGTCCAAGTGGGGGTGTGACGGATCTCAGAAGACGCAGTATAAGCAGAAGTTTGACGATGCGTAAGCTGATGATACAAATATTATCCAAAGTTCGGCTGATTACTGTAGTTGGTATGGCAGAATCCTGTTCCGTCATCGCCAAGATATTGCCGTCCAATAGGGATTTGTTTTGTTTAAGGCCTTCAACAGTCTTGACGAACTTCAGCCTTCTAATCCAGAATCGTTCATATTTGGATTGCCGATTTTACATGCGAGGATTTGATTTTTTGAATCGTTGTTGCATATTTCTTACAAACTAACTATATTAGTTACATTAGGTCAGAGATCCTGAAGAGAAACAGATAGTTAAGCGTTGGAAAATTGACGTTCAGAAAGCATTCAAATCTGAAATGGGGCTAATAGTTGACGCTCCCAAGGCTGGTTTTGGAAACACTAACGACGGCAATACGTTACAATTTTTTTTTTGCAAATCCAGAAAAATCAGCAGCCATAACAGGACTTGACGTTGACATTCGTCTCATTCACCGGTTGAAATTATTCTTGAAACAATATCATGTGGCTACCAAGTTTACGCTCACAAGTTTGCCACATTTGCAATGGAAACCGCCAAGCTGTACGTGAAACTGTACGGTAGGCTTCCTATGATACCAACACTACATAAGATTCTCGTGCATGGAGCAGAAGTTATCCGTCATGCCTTACTACAGATCGGTTAACTTTCTGAAGAGGCTGCAGAAGCAAGAAATACACATTTTCGAAACTGCAGACTCAATTTTGTAGAATCATACACAAACACACACACACACACACACACACACACACACACACACACACACACACACACACACACACACACACACACACACACACACACACACACACACACACACACACACACACACACACACACACACACACACACACACACACACACACACACACACACACACACACACACACACACACACACAAATTGAGAAAAACAGAATAAATAGAGAAAAGTTAAAAGTGCACTATTAGGGGGAATGACTTTTTTCACTCATCTAAAATCAGATTTGTAGCAGATTTGGCCGTCTTTTAAGGTCAAACACTCCTCTGTGCGTCGTCGGTGCGGTCACCGCCGGGTCCGAAATCTAGTAACAACAAGTTTGTAATTGTTTTGTGACATAAGGAGCTCGGTGACCTCGTGACGACCGATTTTGCTTATTGACCGAGGGTTCAAACCCAAGCTCCTTTGCGACATCAGTTCAGCGTTTAACAAAACGAATCCTGTTGCAATCCCAACCCTTTTATCCAACATCTCAGTGATTTCTCGTGAACGATGCATATGTGCTCTTGACCAACAATCAGGCGTGGCCGCCGCTGGTATTATCTAATTTTAGATCACCAGTATTTACACATTGAGGGTGGTTGGTAATCCCAAGCAACGTCTATTGGTTCTCTGTGTAATTATAGCTGATTTGGTAATAACGGAGTTGCATCCTCGGGCGGACAATCATGCTCATGCTCTATGGCAAACTGATTGCAGATATGTTCTACCAATACCCAGTGTTAACTAAAGGGACCTGAATTGCGTGAGCGTGCAGTATTCCTAAACCACAAATATTAGTGCTCTTAAAAGGGGGTACATGGATGTTGTCGATGGAGGTAGGCGGAGCGCGCACATTTAAAAAACCACATGGGTAACGAACAAGCTCAAAATTTACCATTTCAGCAAAGAAGAATGGTAGCTTTGCCATGCAACAACCATAATAAATTGGTTCTTTCCCCTGCGAGTTTACTCGTGTACAGAGTAAACGTTACTCAAGAATTAAGTAAACATGGCTACACAATTGTGGATACGGAGAAACGTTTACTCCGTGCAAGAGTAATCCGCAATTATCATCAAGCTGAGTGAAATTCTCGCCATTTTGAATTAGTTTCAAGTGGCTGTGCATATTAAAATCATCTTTTATTTATCGAATATCGAAACATATGGAGAGTTGACTGTTACAATAGTAGTTCTTTTGACTTGACTTGTGGTGTTTTACTTCCGAAATGATTATTTGCCCTGAAAATGTGCTTCAGCTAGCAGTAGGTTTCCTTTCTCATTAAATCATTGTATATTAAACATCAAATTCGTTCCACGTTTATTTCTTTTAAAAAAAATCTTCAAAATTCTTAAACAAAAACCGCTCACAACTTGCAAAACAGCAAAGCTTCAAAAAGCGCCTTTAATTCTAATTACAGCAATAAAATCATTACGTAAAATGTAAACTGGTACTGTTGTTTTCATGGACGTCAAAAAGCTCGTATTTTTGTTTGCTTGAGATTTAATTAAGTACATCAAATTACGAAATCTTAAAAGTACATTTGCGCGTTTCCTCTCATCAGGTGGGGGCGAGTGTGCGCTCCCGCTAACATTCATTGACTTTAGCTGTCACTATCTGTATCGTTTTCTGCATCTTTCATGCTGTATACCTTATGATTTATTCACGTCTCGGGGTTTCTTAAAATATAAACAAGCGAGCGAGTGGAGGGACGAGATTCAGGACGGTTGATGTGGGAAAATTAGCATGATTGAGGATCTCCATTCCACAGAAAGTCAGCCGGGGGCTGTTTACTTATTTTCGCCGGAAGAAGGTCCCGTTTTCGTCGTTGTCGTTGTCGTCGCCGTCATCGTAGGTCGTTCACCGGAATCCTCACTGACCACCACCGGTCCGCTGCCTCCTTCGCCGTTCCGAACGTACAGGATCTCCGCATACTCGGTGGACTCGGCTAGCTTCGCAACGTAGCTATTCTCGGCAGGCTTCAATTGCAGCTCGGCGTAAACAAGCATCGCCGGTTCATCCTGTTGGATATATGCGAAAGCAAAAATGAAATGAAACCAGATATTGAATTTCGGCTGATTTCGACAGGCTGACGAGGGTGGATGGGAATTTGGGGATTCATTACATTGTGTCTATAAATAATGGAGTGGCCCTAGAAGATGGACTTTTCCCGTAAATTAAGCTCGAAATGATTCGGACTAGAATGTACCCTACTCAGTGAGCTAGAATTGACGATGATCTTGAATGGTTGTCCTCCCGATAAATTCGCCTTTTTGAAAACGATGCCGTCGTTGTCGCAACCATCAACGACTGATGACGACTCATCGCACAACAACGCTAACGAAGACGATGGCATAATGGGATCAAGCCATTACACAATGCAGGCTACCCGACGAACGAAGGAAAATGAATTCCAAGAAAAACGGAAAATCCCGAGTGAACAGGGGAATTGGTATAATTGGCCGCACACATAACAAACCTTGGTTGCAGTCGGTTGCCTTTTGGGGGCGCCGGGATCCACGGTGGCATAGTCCTCCAGGGCACCGCCATCGTCGTCACCAGCAGACGGATGGCTTGGGACGAGCTCATTATCGGCAATTTCTTCGCCACCACCTGCCGCGTCGTCGCCCAGTTCCGCCCGCTTCCTGCCGAACAGGATCTTCAGCCGTTGGGTCTTGGTAATTGGCTGTTTCACTTCAGCGCTTTCGGTGTCGCTCCTGTCGGGGGAGGGAAAATACAGAAAAGAAGCATAGCATAAGAAATTGGATCAAACTGCGAAAAGGAGACCCAAGTAAGCATCCATCGGTGGCTATTTGCTTGAACTGCTGACTGGTTACGTTGCGCGGTTCAAGAGGACAGACAGACCCCCAGCCAGCACCATCATCATCGGAACATCGGGATTGGGGAAGGTGCGTTCGCAATCGAAACCGGTGTATGGTATTTGTCTCACAGGCAGAGGTTTGATTGAGCGATGTCGTGTGGTTTGATGGGGAATAATCTGCCGCCGATTGAAATTTGATTCGAACCAATTACCGGTAATTGGCGATGGGGAAAGGCTCGTTCTCGAGCTTGGGGGTGAGGGGTACAAACATGGTTTGTAGGATGCGCGATGAGGGTGTGATTGGAGGGTTTTTATTGCTGGATTATTGATTCGGTTTAATGATGATACCGAAATTATCAAAAGCAGAGTTGACACTATTCATAATCGATTAAAGTCGTCAATTGAAGGGTGCTCACTAGGGTGTCCCAAAACAGCATTTTGTCATGAAACCTACACCGTATGAAAAATTCAAATAAACGCTAGATTTGGCGTAATTTTAAACGATGTATCATGTAAAAGTAAGCGTAATATCGCACGAAAAGAGATTTTACGCGTTTGTTAAAATTCAGAACTTTTTTCTGTGTAGGGGCTCACCCCCAAAATAACACCCTAATTACATACAAATGTAAACATAATGTAAATTTACAAAGTTTTTGCTGTGTGAGAATATGTTAAGAACAAAAAAAAATGCGAAAATGTGTTTATATCTTCAGTAATTCGTGTATATCTCATTGGATCATACTTGCTTTCGTAAAGTTGAGTGTCATTAAGTTTTCCATTTTCTATTGGACTAGATTAGATTGATGACAACATTATGTTTGAAACCTACTTTTGGCCATTAAATTCCATAATGCACCTAAAAAATCATCGGTTTAGATTGATCACGCCGCCGGCGTCGGTGGTGTAGTGGTAAGCGTGACTGATTTCTCCACCCGAATGGGTCTGGGTTCAATCCCAGTCGAGGTCGCACAGTGGACACGTCATTTGAAATAATTACCCAACATTTTATTAAGCTGGTATTACACTTACAAAAACTATTTTTTTTTACTGGTTCGAGATAATAGCTTTATGCCTTCAGCAATGTTGTAGAAAACAAATTTTATGAAACTTTGCTGAAGACACCAAACTTCTATATCATTATCTTCACAATACTAAGTGAACTCTTGACAGGAGTACCTTAAAATCACTGTTTTTTGCTTTTTTGGTCTTATAATCTCAACTAAACGGTTTGACATGTTCTACATAGATTTAAATATTATCAAATTACACAACTTTGCTGAAGACACTGAAGACAACGGTAGTATGTATAGCTTCGTTTGAGTTTTACAGTGGTTTAAAGGCAACATTTTACCAATATTTCAATTAAATTTTATTTTAAATTAAATTTTTTTTTTTTTTATTAAAGTTAGCAGGTTTTAGCAGGTTTGATCAGTCATGATGTGAAGTACAAACGAGCCAAAAATCTCAATCGGGTGTGGTCGGGCACTAAGGTTTTGTCAATAATCTTTTCAAGATGTTTTTAAATTAATGTTTATTCAAAATGTTGATCGATATGTTTCTTTCCGCATATTGTCGCGCTTATGTTAAATTCTCATGTGGTGACGGTTGTAACGCGTTGCAATTCCGCCCATAAGGATTGTACACAGGTGTGTAACTGAAGCACACACCACACGGGCAAAAATATTGTCAATACTGCCTGATGACTGTATCAATACTGCCTATGACGATGACGCTCATATTGATGAGGTGAATACAGAAAAATTGTCAATCTCGATGTATTGACGTCAATATAAAATGTATTGACAATACGATTATTGTCAATAAAAACTGTCGTGTAGGGTGCACTTGAGATAGTATTCTATGGCAGTGGCTTGAGGAGCAAATCCTGGATAAATAGCTCTGTGTGCTAAATCATTGGGTACAGTCATACGGTCATAAACATTATCCTGTCACACACACAATATTACTTTGCTCAACACCAACGCAAATGTATGACCTGTTTAAAGCCGATGCGGTTGTATTTGTTTATATTTATTGAAACTGACAGTTCTATTGAGCGAGAAATTCGCGTAGTACGCGTGTCGTGTGTTTTCAAATTAATTAAAATGAGAGATTATAAGCGGAAAGATTTGTGCAATGTTTGGTTGCAAAAACCAGGTGCATCAAGTAAAACGAGAATGGTGTTTAATCGCGATTATGTTTTAGAAAATGAAGAAAATTTGTCGAATAACAGAGAAAAACAAGTTAAAAAGGACATTTCTAGGTTATGCTCGGCATTTCAAAAACGCTGGAGCAAAGCAAGTAGAGTATTTAGCGTTTTTGAAACCGCTAACAGAAGCTGGCTATGTGGTGATGTGTTTTCAAGAAGTGGTTTGAGAAGTGAAGGTAGGCCAAGAAAATCGTTTTCTGACTTAAATAAGCAAAACAAAAGACGTCGAGACTGCCAAGCTTATGCAAGAGGCAATGCAGGCTACACCCTCTAGAGCAAAGAAGATCCGGCAAGCATGGAAATCAGAACAGGTTTCACAGAAACCTCGTGTGCTGACAGACAACGAAGGACTTGGATTCTTCATTGGTGGAGATTTTTCTAAAGATCAATGGAAGACGGCAAAACGATGTAATGCGCCTCAAATTTACCCCAGCTATAAAACACTTTTGGAAGCTAGGCGAAAGTGCTTACCAGATCACAACCATATTTTGGTCACCGAGACATCTGCTGAAGTTCATTTGCAGGCATTGATGGATCATACCGTTCAGCGCATACTGTCTTTGGACCTAGATGGAATAAAGGAATCAATGCAGCTTGGAGATCTTGAACTGCTATCAAAATGGAGGTTCGATGGTTCATCGGACCATTCCAATTATAAACAGAAGTTTGAAGGGGAAGATGAGAATGACAGCTCCATTTTTATTACATAGATGGTCCCTCTACAACTCCGCTATCGAGATGCTCCTGATAAGGTTGTCTGGATGGGCCTGTAGATTCGAAGAGATACTTCGAGTCTCCCCACACATGTGGTGGGTTAGGCAAAGAAGTGTGCGTTTGACTTACTTGTCGCATTAATGGCCCTTCGTTCATTTCAACTTCTATTCAATTTTTAGACAGCCGTACTCTAACGGAACTATCAACCCATCCTCTTCAGAACTTACTCTAGTTAATAAATTATCACACTAAAGCTTCACGTTGATATTAGTATAGCATTTCCAACCAACTCTGAAAATCGTAAGCTTCACGTATGAAGTAACAAACAAAAAAAAAAAACACTTTGAATGCTTTATATTATGTTGGCAACTGTTCATTTATTTTTTATTTTTTTGGCCTTTTAACATTGGAAAATGAAAGTACAAATATGATTTACTAACAAAAGCATAGAATCAAATTACTGACAAAACCTAATTGCCCGACCAGACCCGATTAAGATTTTAGGCTCGTTTATACTTCACATCATGACTGATCAAACCATGTTAAATGTGGCTGCTAAAACCTGCACACTCAAAAGAAATTTAAATTGAAAAAATTGTAATTTTTTGCCTTTAAACCGGTTTATAATCCAATCAAAACTATAAAGACTACCACTATCTTGAGCAAAATTGTGTATTTTGAGAATATTGAAAACTTTGTAGGACATATCACCCCGTTTATTTGAGATTATAATACAAAAAATGACAAAAATCGATTTTAAGGTGCTCCTGTCAAGAATTCACTTAAATCTTGTAAATATAAAGATATAGAAGCTTGGTGCCTTGAGCAAAGTTTCATAAAATTTGTTTTTCTACAACATTGCTGAAGACATAAAGCTATTATCTCGAACCAGTAAAAAAATAGTTGTTGCAAGTGTAGTACCAGCTTAATAAATATTTAGGTAATTATTTCAAAAGACTCGGACCATTATTACGAGAAACTTCTTCCAAGACTTCTTTAAAACGACGATAAAGGGGAGAAAAAGGTATTGACCGTCTTTTTTTCAGAATGGTCCCACTGTGGGTCGGTGGGATTTTTCTGAGGCATAACAATCTCTGGTCACGTCTTCCTTCGGAAGGGAAGTAAAGCCGTTGGTCCCGGCCCATGTGTGTTGAATGGGTGCGATATCCTACGCAGGTGTAGAAGTTGCCTTCCTGCACATTCGATTGTCGTCAATGAATGGCAATCGATGTCCGTCGGTGATTGGCACTAGATTGCGGAACAGAGACCGACGTTAAATAAAGTAAAGAAGATTGATCACGCCAATCGTATAATTATTATTTGTATTTATGTTGCGAGAGCCACCCTAATACGCGATCACTCACTCTCAATTTTCTCTCCCATACGCTATTGTGCACCATACAACCAGCTGTGTAGAGTGAATAGGAAAGGCTTTAGCGTACGGTCGAACGGTGATCGTGTATCGTTTCTAATACATGCACGCAGAACAGATGATCGGTAGTCAGTTGTAAATAAATCTGAGGAACGTGAAGTGCGTGAAACACCGGCGAATACCATCGCTTTTATGTGCATGAACATAAATTGGTCCTTCGAGCCGGATCAATCGCGGTGTCGTTTCGCGCGAATGTGTAGTGCGCCGTTGGGCGGTCGGGAAAAGGACACTTGCTTTGTGTAGTGCGGGACAAAAGAGCAAATTGAAATTTCGCCATCGCGTAAGTGCTTTGGGCCACGTATAGTACCCAATAGTAAAACATTCGACGTGAGTGGAGAATGGCGGATTGCTGCTGAACCAGTGGATCGATAGTGGTTCCTGTTGGCAAGTGGAAACGGAGCGGACTTCGACGGATACGGGAGATCGACTACAAACTGGAGCAGCGCTGATCAATATTAATTGGAGTCAGATAAGTACAGTGAATGTGGCTCGATGGGTGACGAGTGCCATCAATAAAATGCGCAAATTCCTGTGATTTTTT